GTAACCAAAAGAGAACAGAACTGGCCATACTTATATCAGACAAAATAGGCTTTGAATAAAAAACTTTCACAAGAGACAAAGAAGGATATTATGTAATGATAAAAGGGTCAATTTATCAGAAAGATAATTACAAGTGTGCATGCATTAGGGTTCTCCAGAGAAACAGAACCAATAGGATGTGTGTGTACATACATACATATGCATATACATATATACAGAGAGAGAAATTGATTTATTATAAGGTATTGAATCATGTGATTATAGAGGCCAAGAAATCCAGACCCAGGAGAGAGCCAATGGTATAGGGTTTAGTCTGAGTCTGAATCCAAGTCTGAAGGCAGGAGAAAACCAATATCCCAACTTGAAGACAGGAAGAAAGAGTGTTTTTCCCATTTTGCCTTTTATTAGATTTAGGCCCTTAGTGAATTGGATGAGGCCCACCCACACTGGGGAGGGCAATCTGCTTTACTCAGTCTCCTAATTCAAATGCTAATCTCATCCAGAAACATCCTCACAGATATACCCAGGAATAATGTTTAACCAAACATTTGGTCACTCCATGGCCCAGTCAAACTGACATATAAAATTAATCATCACCATGTGTATGTACCCAACCTCAGAACATCTAAATATATGAAGCGAACATTGATAGAACTGAAGGAAGAAATAGATAGCAACACAATAATTGTAGGAGATTTCAATACCACACTTTTGACAATGGGTAGAACATTCAGATAGAACATCAGTAAGAAAACAGAGGACTTGCACAACACTGTAAGACCCAATGGACCTAACAGACATGCAGAGCTTTCCACCCAACAGCAGCAGAATACACGTTTCTCTCAAGCACATGGAATATTCTCCAGGACAGATCACATGTGAGGTCACAAAACAAGTCTTAACAAATTTAAGAGGATTAAAATCATAGTGTTTATATTTTTCCAATCATAATGGAATGAAACTAGAAATCAACAGCAGAAGGAAAACTGAGAAATTCACAAATACGTGAAAATTGAACAACATTCTCTCAAAAAACTAGTGGGTCAAAGAAAAAAAAAACGAAAGAGAAATTAAAAAATCTTGAGATAAATGAAAACACGGTATACCAAAACTTAGGTGATGCAGCAAAAGCAGTATAAACACGGAAGTTTATATAATTAAATGTCTATGTTAAGAAAGAAGAAATATCTCAAATAATAATCCTAACTCTAGGCGGGGCATGGTGGCTCACACCTGTAATCCCAGCACTTTGGGAGGCCGAGGCAGGTGGATCACCTGAGGTCGGGAGTTCGAGATCAGCCTGGCCAACATGGTGAAACCCCGTCTGTACTAAAAATACAAAAATTAGCCGGGTATGGTGGCGCACACCTGTAGCCCCAGCTACTCGGGAGCCTGAGGCAGGAGAATCACTTGAACCCAGGAGATGGAGGTTGCAGTGAGCCGAGATCGTGCCACTGCACTCCAGCCTGGGCAACAGAACAAGACTCTGTCTCAACAACAACAACAACAAAAAGTCCTAACTCTATACTTTAAGGGTATAGAACAAGAAGAGCAAACTAAACCCAAAGTTAGAAGAAGGAAGGAAATAATAAATATAGCAGCAAATTATGTAGACTTGCTCTCCTAGAACTCTCATTCCAGCGGGGAGGTTACACTATACAGATTTTATTATAGCAGGTTCTGTATACATGTTCTTAAAGTAGCATAGTTTGACACACTGCTTCTCTTCCTGTATTTTGGTATCTTCCCCTTTTCGTTAGGGCAAAATGGAATATGTTTTTGAATTGGATGTTCCCGGGAAAGTGGAAGATGTTGTGGAGACGTTGCTTCAGGTAAGCACTTGCTGGGTAGAAAATTCAAAGCAAACTGAGGCAGAAACTGTTTTTATAAATTTTGTATTTATATACCTTACCCAAATCATCATCTATTTTCTAAATATGTAGCAGATTGACTTAAAATGTTGAGTTTAAAAACTATATATTAGGAAGCAGCCATAGGTATATCAGAAATAATCTTGACTGTTAACAGAATGATTGCTGTTTCTCATTGCTTCTAAAGAAATACTTCATATCATCTGAGAGAAAAAATAAATTCATGTTTGTTTATGATATTGTAGCTTCACAGAGCATCCTGCCTTGACAAATTGGGTGACCAAACCGCCATGGTAAGTATTCCTAACAATGTGTGTCTTTGATTGCCAATTAACTTGCATTGATATTTTACTTATAAATACTTATATTCATACTTTTTTCTGGTTCTGTTTTAATAGATAACAGCTATTTTGCAGTCTCGTTTGGCTAGAACATCATTTGACAAAAACAGGTAAGTTTCTAATAATCTTTCCTAATTAGAAAAGCAGTGGACATTTTCATCTGTATGCCTCATTCAGCAGGTCCAAGCCTGATGTCATCATTGGTCTCACCTAAAACCTGCTTGTCTTAGAGAATGGCTCAGCCTCAGTGCAGGAGAACTCTCTAGGGCTTCTGCAACTCTTCTGCATCCTGATGTCTGTCAGTCAGAAAGGTCTGTTAGATGCTTCAGTTTCTGCTTCTGTGTTTTCACATTGTGTTGCATCAGTTCAGGCCACCGTCACCTCCCACCCAGAACACTAGCACAGCTTAATGTAGCTCACCTACCTGACTCCATCTTCCCTTCTCCATTTCTCTTCTCCTCCCTCTACCTGACGTTGTTTTAAAATATGTTCTTTCTAAGGGCCAGGTGTAGTGGCTCAGGCCCATAATCCCAGCACTTTAGAAAGCCAAGGTGGGAGAATCACTTGAGCTCCAGAGTTTGAGATCAGCCTGGGCAACATAGTGAGATCCTGTCTCTGCAAAATTAAAAATTAAAAAATTAGGCCGGGCACGGTGGTTGATGCCTGTAATTCCAGCACTTTGGAAGGCTGAGGCGGGCAGATCATGAGGTCTGGAGTTCAAGACCAGGCTGGCCAAAATAGTGAAACCCTGTCTCTACTGAAAACACAAAAAAATTACCTGGGAATGGTGGTGGGCACCTGTAATCCTAGCTATTCGGGAGGCTGAGGCAGAAGAATTGTTTGAACCTGGGAAGCGGAGGTTGCAATGAGCCAAGATCATGCCATTGCACTCCAGCCTGGGCAACAGTGTGAGACGCCCATCTTAAAAAAAAAAAAAAAAAAAAATTAGTTGGACATGGTGGTGTATACCTGAAGTCCCAGCTACTTGAGAGGCAAGGTGGGAGGATCCCTTGAGCCCAGGAGGTCAAGGCTGCAGTGAACCATGATTATGCCTCTGTACTCCAGAGTGAGACCCCATCTCAGAAAATAAAATAATAAATTTTAAAAATGTCCTTTCTAAAGAACTTATTTGGTCATATCACCTGCCGGTTTAAAATTCTTCAAGATTGAAACTAGGCTCCTTCCTTACACCATATACAAAAATTAACTAAAGATGGATTAAAGACTTAAATGTGAAACCTAAAACTATAAAAACTGTTGAAGAAAATCTAGGAAATACCATTCTGGACATAGGCCCCAGCAAAGATTTCATGACGAAGACACAAAAGCTATTACAACAAAAACAAAAATTGACAAATGAGACCTAATTAAACTAAAGAGCTTTTACACAGCAAAATAAACTATCAACAGAGTAAACAGAATGAGAGAAAATATTTGCAAACTCTGTACATGACAAAGTTCTAATATCCAGAATCTAGAAGAAACAAGCAAAAAATGAACAACCCCATTAAAAAGTAGGCCAAGTACATGAACAGACACTTTTCAAAAGAAGACATACATGCAGGCCGGGCGCGGTGGCTCAAGCCTGTAATCCCAGCACTTTGGGAGGCCGAGACGGGCGGATCACAAGGTCAGGAGATCGAGACCATCCTGGCTAACACGGCGAAACCCCGTCTCTACTAAAAACACACAAAAAAATTAGCCGGGCAAGGTGGCGGCGCCTGTAGTCCCAGCTACTCGGGAGGCTGAGGCAGGAGAATGGCGGGAACCCGGGAGGCGGAGCTTGCAGTGAGCTGAGATCTGGCCACTGCACTCCAGCCTGGGCGACAGAGCGAGACTCCGTCTCAAAAAAAAAAAAAAAAAAAAAAGACATACATGCAACCAAAAAAATCTGAAAAAAGGCTCAATACCACTAATCATTAGAAAAATGTAAATCAAAACCACAATGAGATACCATCTTATACCAGTTAGAATGGCTATTATTTTTAAAAATTTAATAAATTTTGAGTGGCTATTATTTAAAAAATAACGTGCTGTTGAGATTGCAGAGAAAAGGGAATGCTTGTACCCTGTTGGTGGCAGTGTAAATTAGTTCACCTACTGTGGAAAGCAGTTTGGTGATTTCTCAAAGAACTTAAAACAGAGCTACCATTTGACCCAGCAGTCCCATTATTGCATACATACCCAATGGAAAATAAATTGTTCTACCATAAAGATACATGCACACATAGGCTTATCACAGCACTATTCAAAGTATTAATAGCAAAGACATAGAATCAACCTAAATACCCATCAGTGGTAGACTGGATAAAAGAAAATGTGGTACATATACACCATGGAATACTTTGCAGCCATAAAAAAAGAGATCATGCCCTTTGCAGCAACGTTGGATGGCACTGAAGGCCAGGGATGGCGCTGGAGCAAGTTAATGTGGGAACAGAAAACTAACACCGCATGTTCTTTCTTGTAAGTAGGAGCTAAACATTGAGTACAAATGGACACAAAGAAGGGAACAATAGACACTGAGCCTACTTGAAGGTGGAGGATGGGAGAGAGGAGGGCGAGGATCAAAAATCTGCCTATCGGGTACCATACTTACTACCTGGGTGACAAAATAATCTGTACAACAAACCCCCAAGATACGTATTTTATCTACAACAAACCTGCATATGTACCCTGAAATTAAAATAAAAGTTAAAAAACAATAAAAAAAAAATTAACTCTTTGAGAGTAGGAACTTGTCTGGTCTCTTGCATCCACACAGTATGGTACATTACAGTGAATGAAATTAATGGTTTCTCTACATTTTACTGCCATTGCATTTTCCGAGACCCCCGTTAGCTCTCCTTGGTTCAGCTGGAATTCCTCTAGCCTCTTCATATGGTCCACAAAGTTATCTTCCTAAAACAAACATGATTATGTGCCCACCAACCAGCTCCTAGAACAGTAACAAGCAAAAGAGTTTTCAGTAAGTTAATTTAAATGCCTCTCTTTCATTGACAATATCAAAGGTTACTGTACCAAGAAACAAATAGTCTTTTATAGCCATACACTTTTGTATTACACTTTTGTAATCCAAATTCTGTGGATTATTTCATATTGCCAAGAGAAAGTGATACAATAAATGGCCATTAAAAATATAAATAAAATAAAAATTTTCAAGACCCTCCCTGTCCCCAGTGCCTTCAGGATAAAGCCTAAACACCTTAACATGGCCCTAAGACTCTTAGGTACTAGCTCTTGTTTACTACTAGTCGTTGATGATGCATCTTAAATTCTGTGCCCTAGTTATTTGCATTACCTGCAGTTTCTGTTGGGTCACATTGTCTCTTACCTCTGAGCCTTTGTTCTTGTTCCCTCTGCTTAGAAAACTCATCCTCCTTCTCTGCACCTGGCTGTTACTTCTTATTCTTATTTCTCAGTTATTCTAGAAGGCCTTTCCTGAGACTTCAAGTTGCAATAAGTACCTTCCTATGGCGACCTATAGGGTCCAAGAGAGTACACTCCTACTGTTCTAACGGTTTTTTCATTGACTTTCTTGGCTTTTCTTAAGTATACATTTTGTACAAAGATGAAATTTCTGTATTATCCCATTCTCTTACTTGTTTATTGCCTTGTATTAAGGAGATTTAGGTGATTTGTCTGTGTCTTTGTCTCTGGTATCACTAAGTTAATTATTATACCTTTATGGTAACTATTGGCATCTGGTAGTGCAGGGCCCCAGACCTTATTTTCCTTTTTCACTTATGTCTTCAGTGTTCTTGGTCTTAGGCACTGCCATCTGAATTTAGAATCAGCTTGTCAATTTCCATAAAAGCAATTGTGTTGCGATTTTGATTGTAATTGCAGTGAATCTATAGTCTTCTCTCTATTTATTTAGGTCCCCTTTAATATATTCCTTATGATTTTCTTCATAAAGATCTTTCCTATCTTATGTTATTTATTCCCAGTACTTCATATTTGTGATGGTATTATAAATGGTATGTTATTAAAAATTTCATTTTCTGTTATTGTTGATATATAGAATGCAATAGGTTTTAGTGTACTCATTTTGTTTTCAGCAACCCTACTAAACTCTATGACCAATTCCATTAACTGTATATTTAGATTCTTTATATTTACAAAATCTTATCTATGAATTATTTGCAGTCTCTATTCACTAGCATTTTTATTTTTGATTTTTGCATCTGTAATCATTCATGCTTAGGACAAAGCAGAAAGTATTGGTTGAATAGGTTCATTTATTTATGGATTATTATGTGCCAGGCTTTTGCTAGAAGCTTATGTTTATAAATGAGAGTAGTTTGTAATATTCTATTTTATTGCTACCTTTGTGAGATTTGGGAATCAGTCATCTTGACCTTTACCCTACATTTTAATGTGTTAAAGAACTTGCCAGTAAAGCCATCTGGCCAGTAATGTGTTTTTTTGTGTTTATGTTTGTTTGATTCTTTCTCTGCTTCACTATATAGCATTAATTTTCTTTCCATTTTTATACTGGCAGGATATATTAGGTAAGTGAATTGCTTAGGGAAGAATAGTTTCCATTTTAGAAAGGAAAGGGAATAATAATAGGAAGAATTAGCTGCTTCTGACCTACTTAGAATGTGTCATTTTTCCAAGTAGCAATTTAGACTTCAATTCTGGGCTTCAGCATGACATTCATTTAAAAAATGGTTCACTGTGAACGTTTTAATGTATCCAGTTGCTGAAATATTAGGCTAAAGAATTTGGGGAAAGGGATTTTTGCAATATGAAATGAAATATTCCAGTGTTGTATACTTTCTTTAGAAGAAAAAAAGGTAAACTTCTGCTAGGATAAGCTTTCATCATATTTCTGAGGACATAATTTTTTATTAAAGGAATATAAGGTAAACTATTTTTAATACTTTTTATTTTGAAAAGTTTTGAACCATCACAAGTTGAAACACTAATACAATGAAGGCAGGTCCCCTATGATTCACCAGATGTTAATTTAACATTTTGCCAAATTTTCTTTAAGTCATGCCTGCTCCTGCTCACATTGTTGCTCTGTGTGTGTGTGTTATTTCTATGTATAAATGTGTATGTTTGTATTATGTATATAATACATGTGTATATATTTTTTCTGAATCATTTGAAACTGAATTCCAAGGTATCATAACACTTCCCCCATAAGTACTTCGGCAGGTACTTGTTAGAAGGATATGCTCCATTCCTTGATACCATTATCATACTTCATTAGCAATAATTCCATAATAACATCTGATATATCATATAATAAAATATAAAATCATTAAAACGATAAACTCATAATATCTTATAGCTTCATATTAAAATTTCCCCTTTTTAAAAAAAATTATACTTTAAGTTCTAGGGTACATGTGCACAATTGCAGGTTTGATACATAGGTATACATATGCCATGTTGGTTTGCTGCACCCATCAAGTCATCATTTACAGTAGGTATTTCTCCTAATGCTATCATTCCTCCCCCAGCCCCCCAACCCTGATGTGTGATGTTTCTTACCCTGTGTCCAAGTGATCTCATTGTTCAGTTTCCACCTGTGAGTGAGAACATGCAGTGTTTGGTTTTCTGTCCTTGTGATAGTTTGCTGAGAATGATGGTTTCCAGCTTCATCCATGTCCCTGCAAAGGACATGAGCTCATCCTTTTTTATGGCTGCATAGTATTCCATGGTGTATATGCGCCACATTTTCTTAATCCAGTCTGCCATTGATGGACATTTGGGTTGGTTCTAAGTCTTTGATATTATGAATAGTGCCGCAGTGAACATATGTGTGCATGTGTCTTTATACCAGCATGATTTATAATCCTTTGGGTATATATCTGGTAATGGGATGGCTAGGTCAAATGGTAATTTTAGTTGTAGATCCTTGAGGAATCATCACAGTCTTCCACAATGGTTGAACTAATTTACACTCCCACCAACAGTGTAAAAGTGTTCCTGTTTCTCCACATCCTCTCCAGCATCTGTTGTTTCCTGACTTTTTAATGATTGCCATTCTAACTGTTGTGAGATGGTATCTCTTTGTGTTTTTGATTTGCATCATTTCTCTAATGACCAGTGATGATGAGCATTTTTTCATGTGTCTATTGGCTGCTTAGATGTCTTCTTTTGAAAAGTGTCTGTTCATATCCTTTGCCCACTTTTTGATAGGGTTGTTTTTTTCTTGTAAATTTGATTGACTTCTTTTGTAAATTTGAAAGTAGTTTCTGGATATTAGCCCTTTGTCAGATGGGTAGCTTGCAAAAGTTTTCTCCCATTCTGTAGGTTACCTGTTCACTCTGATGGTAGTTTCTTTTGCTGTGCAGAAGCTCTTTAGTGTAATTAGATCCTATTTGTCTATTTTGACTTTTGTTGCCATTGCTTTTCATGTTTTAGTCATGAAGTCCTTGCCCGTGCCTATGTCCTGAATGGTATTGCCTAGGTTTTCTTCTAGGGTTTTAATGGTTTTAGGTCTAACATTTAAATATTTAATCCATTTTGAATTTAAAATTTCCCCTTTTCTACCCCAAAAGTCTTCCTTAAAATACTTTATTTTATAATGATTGTAGATTTAAAAAGAACAGACCAAAAGATAGTACAGGTTTCTCTTTCACTCCCCACTCAGAATCCCTGTTCTGTTTAATATGTAAGTGCTGCCATCTTTTGTTGGACATATTCCTAGATATTTGATTGTTTGATACTATTGAAAATTTATTTTCCAACTATTTGTTACTGGTATATAGAAATACAGTTCTTTTTAAAATTGACCTTGTATACTGTGACCCTTCTAAATTCACTCATTAGTCTTAGAGTGTTTTTTGCTAGATTCCATGGAGTTTTTATGTACATAATCATTTAATCTGTGAATAATGACAGTTTCACAGAAATCCCTATGGCTTTTATTTTCTATTTCTTGCCTCATTGCACAGTTTTATTAATAGATGTGGTGGAAATGGACATTATTGCCTCATTCTTGATCTTACAGGAAAAGGGCTTAATGTTTCATCATTCAAAGATGATGCTAGCTGTAGGTTTTTCATAGCTGCCCTTTAACAAAGTGAAAATGTTCCTTTCTGTTCCTAGTTTACTGAGAGTTTTTTCAATAATGGGTGTAGAATTTTGTCAAGTATTTTTTCTGCATTCATTGACATGATCATATTTTTTTCTTTATTCTGTTAATGTTTTGAATTACACTGATTGATTTTTTTCAATGTTAAACCAACCTTGTATTCATGGGCTGAATCTAATTTGAGATCATGATGTCTTATCCTTTTTACATATTACTGGATTTGCTTTGCTAGTATTTTCGCATCTATATTGATGAGGGATATTGCTCTGTAATTCTCCTGTAAGGTATTTGTCAGTTGTGGTGCAGGGTTATGCTGACCTCATAAAATGAGTATGGAGGTTTTCTTTATCTCCTGTTTTCAGAAAAAAGTTTGTGTAGGATTGGTGTTATTTCTTCCTTAAATTTTTAATAGAATTTGTTGATGAAGCCATCTAGGTCTAAGGTGTCCTTTGGGATTCCATTTATTTACTGAACATAGGACTGTTCCATTTGTGTGTTTCTTCTGTGCCTGTTTTGGTAACTTGTGTATTTCAAATAAATTGTCCATTTCATCTAAGTTGTCAGACATATTGGTACGAAGTTCCTTATGTCCTTTTAATGCCAGCAGCATCTGTAGTATAGACCCTTCTTTCATTCATTATGCTGATACTTTGTGTTTTCTCTGTTTAAATATCAGAATTGCCAGGGCTTACCAATTTTATTAACTTTCAAATGACCACATTTTGACTTTGTTGATATTTTTCTGCTTTTTCACTTTGCTTATAGTTGGTGTCCACTTTTATGATTTTCTTCCTTCAGCTTGCTTTGGGTTTAAGCTGCTTCTTCTAGCTTTCTAAGAACAAAGCCTAGATCAACAATTTTATTCCTTACTTTGTAATAGA